CTCATTTCAAACCCCGGGGCCCCTCCCATCTGGGGAACGTCCGCTCCTCTGGCCTGCTTCACAGTTCCCAGGGCGGCCCGCGTTCTAACTCGGGAGCTCCTGTCCCACGGGGACACAGGACCCCAGGGGTTACTCCTCCTCCAGCCGCAGTCAGGACCCGGACCCTGAGCCCCTGCTGTGCGCTGGAAGCTTCCTGTCCCTGCTCTCCTGCCTTACAGGGACCCCCAGAGCTTCTCCCTGTCCCAACCCGAGGTTTCGGCCCCTCCCTTGCATCTCAGGGGACTCCTGCCTGCCCCTTTGGCCCAGGCCTGTATTGCCGGAACCTGGCAGCTGCCCCTCTTCCAACCTGGGGGAGCTTTGCCTGTCCCGCACCATGGGGACCGCCCCCGCCGGATCCCTGCATCTCTGCCTCTCCACTCCCACCGCTGTGCTGCTGCCTCCCGCCCTCCCTAGGGGTGTCTGTTCCCAACCCAGTCTCACAGGGACCACAGGGGCCGCCACACCTCTCCATCCAGGGAAGTCTTGTGCCTGTTTTTTGTCCCTTCTGTAGGCATTCTGAAGAACAGGCTGCAGTACCCACTGGTGCCACAGACCCGAGGCGCCACTGAGCTGTCCTGGTGCCGCGCAGCCACCTTGGGCCACCGTGCTGTGCCAGCCGCCTCTTACGGCCGCATCTATGCTGGTGGGGGCACGGGCAGCCTCTCGCAGCCGGCCAGCCGCTACTCTTCCCGAGAACAGCTGGACCTGCTCCTCCGGCGGCAGCTGAGCCGAGAGCGACTGGAGGAGGCCCCTGCTCCTGTCCTGTGCCCCCTGAACCGGCCAGGTTCCCAGGAACGCCTGGATGCTGCACCAGGCCGCCTGGAGCCCAGGGATCGGGGCAGCACCCTGCCGCGGAGGCAGCCGCCCCGGGACTACCCTGGCGCCGTGGCTGGGCGCTTCGGCTCCCGGGATGCGCTGAACTTAGGGGCACCCCGTGAGTGGCTGAGCACGCTGCCTCCACCCCGCCGCCCCCAGGACCTGGACCCACAGCACCCGCCTGTGTCCCCGTCTCCCCAGAGGCAACTCTCAAGGGACCCCCTCTTGCCATCCCGGCCCTTGGACTCTGTGTCTAGGAGCTCGAACTCTCGCGAGCGGCTGGACGAGGTGCCTAGCCGGCACCCCTCCCGAGAAGCACTCGGGCCACCCCTGCAGCTGCTCAGAGCTAGGGAGGACCCAGCCAGTGGCCCCAGCCACGGCCCCTCCACAGAGCAGCTGGACATTCTCTCCTCCATCCTCGCCTCTTTCAACTCCTCGGCCCTCTCCTCCATGCAGTCCTCCAGCACGCCTTCAGGCCCTCACACCACTGCCACACCTTCCGCCACAGCCTCTGCGCTTGGGCCCTCCACTCCGCGCTCTGCCACGTCCCACAGCATCTCAGAGCTGTCGCCGGACTCAGAGTAAGCACGGTCCAGCCACTGTGCTGTCACCTGTGTACCCTGTCCCGGGTCCCACCACAGAGTGGGGTGGGATGGGGTGGGGTTGGGAGGTGCAGGCTACCCCTGGTTCTGCTCTCACAGTTGGGGGGCTACAGGCTGGGGACAGCAGTCTGGTAGGGCATGGGGGTGTGACCAGCAAGAACTCCCCAGCTGTGTGCTGGGAACGTGCCACACCTCCCTGCAGCTCCCGGGGAAGGAGGGGAGCTGGGTGCCTCCCAAAAGCCTTGAGCCAGAGGAGGGGGAAGCCCTAGAAGCAGGAGGCGACCTGGTCTTCCTGAGGGACAGGGAGGTCTCACCTCGGGCTGTATGGGGTGCCAGGATGTGCCAGCAGACGAGCAAATCATGCATTCATTCACGGATTCCTTCAGCCAGTGTGAAGCTCCTCCTGCCTGCGGGCACGGTGGAGGGGGCTCCCCGGAGTTGAGCTGGGACCTGGTGCATTCAGGCGCCTGTGGGGCAGCCATGGGACACGGTGTGCGGGCCTATCGGCAGTAGCTGCGTGCACAGGGCTCAGAGAGGGAGGGGCTCAGGGCTTGTCAGGTCTTGTGAGCCCAAAGGGGGGCTGAGTCGCTCTGAGAAGATAGTTGCTTCATGCTGTGCAGGGTTGCAGGGTGAGAGATGGCTGTGGGGGGAAGAGGGCCCCGTGGGTGGGGCCAGGGCAACTGAGCAGGACCCAGTGGTGAGAGAGGAGGGGTGGGGTGACAGGAGTGACCTACAACCTGGTCCCACTACCATCCAGCCTTGGGCCTGGTTGTGTGAGAGGTGGGCTGGGGGCCGAGCCGGGGTTCAGGCTCTGGACTCACGCAGGTCTGAGTTTGCGATCTGTCCCTACCTCAGTAGCTGTGTGACCCTGGGCAGGTTCTGTGCCTCTCTGAGACTCAGCTTCTTCATCCATGAAGGGGTCTACAGTTCTGAGATGTGAGATTTGTGAGACAGTATCTGCCAAGGGTGTAACACAGCAGGTCTTACAGAAAAGGCCCAGGCGGCCAAGGAGCCTTGCATCTGGCTGCAGGACTGAGAACCCTGGAGGGGATACTTGGGGGAGGTGAGGTCCACTGAGTGATGCCTATGATTTCCATCTCTAACTCTGCAGAGTTCCCAGAAGCGAGGGTCACTCCTGAGGGGCCCGCGGAGTGAAGGAGGAAGAGCAGAGGGCGATGGAAGATTTGGGCTAAAGAAGAGGCTCCAGGGGTCGGGGCCAACCCCAAGGCAGCCTCTGTCCCAGCTCCCAGCCCTGTGGAGGCGGTGCTGAGGCTGCGTGCATCTGTGAGCATGCCCATGGCAGGTGCAGGAGGGAACTGAAGGGAGGACTTTTATACGTTTTGTACCTTTGTAACCAGAGAGAGATGCTTATGTTATTTTTCAGCTCTTCTGACTCCAGGGGTCTGAGCTGGGCTGGGAGGGGGAGGGGACAGGATGAGATGCAGAGTTGGGCCCCATGTGGGTCCCTGGGAAGCCCTGTGCTGTCTCCTCGCATCTTACAGCGGTGGGGTCAGACAGGTGGCACTGAGGCCCTCCTCCCACCCCACCACGCCCCAGGTGGATCTGGATATTGTCGGGGCCCAAAGTGCAGAATTGATCTTTGCTGTTTCTCCAGTGCCCCCATCCCAAGGCCAAACTTCCGGGCTGGGGGCTGGTCTTGAAAACAGGGGTCCTCCGGCCTCCTCAGGGGCACCCGCTCCTGCCACCCCTCTCGGTGGACGTATGTGTTTAATACGTGGAGTCCTTGCCACTTGCTGCCTTATGACCTAGGACGGATGCTGTGGCGCGCTGGTGGAGCAGCAGATGTCGTGTTTACAAAGCAAGGCTTCCCTTTCGCCCAGGGGAGGGCTCAGGCCTCTGCTCAGACATTCCTGCCCAGTGTGGGTCGGGGTCATTGGGCAGCCCCCACCCCTGCCCTGCTCCCCGACGCTGCCCCCCAGGGGTGGATGGGAGGGTGAGCAAAGGGAGCAGAAGCAAGGGCATTCCAGACCCAGAATGTAGGTGCCACTGCCTCCCGTGTTTACAGGATCCTCCCTGGCCCTGGGCGCCGGGGCTGCCTGCCAGAAGTGACTCAGTTCCACGCTGCTTTACTCCCTTCAAAAGGGAAAACCGACTGTTCGACTCTGTCTGCAAAACTCCCACTCTTGTAGCTTTGTCTGATGTCCACCACTGGGGACTTTAACGTTTCGTTACTTTGTTTACAGGTTGAGATTTACAACATGTTTTTTTTTACTTTGTTTACAACTTGAAACTTGGAACTTTTACACTTTGTTTACAGTCGAGGATGTCCCCCCCCCCTTGTTTACAAGTGAAAGGTAGGGAAAGCGGAAGAGGGACTGGGAGGACCCACCTGTGAAGACCCTGGACCTGGCCATCTTGAGGGGGTTTCTAAGCTCAGCTCTCCCAGGCCAAAGCTCCACCCTGGTTTAATAGCAGACCCAGAAGGCCTGAGAGTAAGCATCCTCTTACCACGTGGCTGTAGGGCTGGGGGTTTGGTGCAGACACCTGCTCCCCTCCCCCGGCCCCATGCAGTTTCCAAGGAGATTAAGAATTCTGCTTCACTGACTGGTGCCAAGTCCCACCAGCCAGGACCCCACCTTCGTTCCCCACAAGGACGCCAGCCCTCGAAGCGCAGAGTGGCATCCTCGCTTGTCCTAGGTTCTGTAGATGCCCCTCTCCGGGGGTCTCCCCACTCCGGCCCAGCGTCCCCTCTCCCAGCTGTGTAAATTGTTCCGTGAAGCCGCGCTCTGTTTTGGGAATAAACTTCTATAGAAAACAGTTGCTGGCTCTTTCTATTGGGGGGGGGGGGGTGGCCAGTGGGAGACACTCAGGCCAGACTGACCTTTGGAAGCAATCTGAGTCCTCGTCCCCAAGAATATCCAGCTATTCTTAGCTCACTTCCTGGGAGATTTGGACCAGGTTCCCATCTCCTCGCTCTGAAAGCCCTCACCTTGGGATGGGAGCCTGAGGTGGGGGACCGGTGCTGTGGGGAGGGTGCCTGAGACTGCAAGCCTGGGGCCGAGCCAGTCCCAGGAGCTGTGTAGTTGCTGCCTTGCCCGTTGACAGCACCGACCCCTTGCCAGCCTCTCTCAAGAAGTCAGGGTTCTCCACTGCTCAGGCGGGAGCCCTGAGCATAGCCCCACGTCTGGGCTGAGCCTTCTGCCTTGGGGACCCTCTGCGCAGGGTCTCGGAAAGCCCGAGGGTGATGCCCTCAGCGACAGGCATAAGAAGCCCCACGAACCTGGATCCATCACCGAAGATTTACTGAGGTTCCTGGCCTCACCCGAGGCCTCGCAGCCATTCAGGGATTTCTGCTCCTTCCGCATCGACCCTCTGTAAAGCCAGGACTCAGGATCAGCTCCATCCCGCTCAGGAGCCTTGGAGGCGCGGCTTCCCGGTTCCCGGTTTGCAGTCCCACCTGCTGGGGGCCCAGGATTAAGTAAACCCGGCTGAAGGGCACAGTCCCGGCGGCGGGAGAGGAAGAGGTTAAACCTTCCCTTCCGCCCACAGCGCGTCACTTAGGCCACGCCCCTACATGCTGATTGGCCCCAGCCTTCCCCAAGCCGCCTTCGCGCCGCTGGCCGGGTCGACGCAGCCTTCCATCGCGTAGCGGCCTCTCCTTGAAGATGTCGGAGCAGTCGCCGCAGGGCCCCGTGCGGGCCGTGAGGCTCTCGGATGAGGCGGGGTGAGTGCAGGGCGCGGCCTTGGTCCGCGTGGCGAGGGCCCCCGGCCTGGGTTGGGCTCTGAAGAGGAACCCCCAAGCCCAGGTCCGGGGTGAGCACGTTCCAGCTGCCACGCCCAAGTTTGCTGCCGCGAGGATTTCCTAGAAGCAGGCGGCAGCCAGCCCGTCTGCAGCGAGGGCTGGGGGCGGCAGATGGCGCGTCCCCAGCCCGAGATTGCGTGCGGAGCAGCGGGGTCCCAGAGGTGCGCCCGCTGGAGGCGGCGGGGCCGGCCGGGATGTCTCCACGAGAAGGTCCCAGGCCGAGGCTTGTGGACCAGTCTGGTCCTGAGTCCACACCTCCCTCAGGGCGCGGCGAGTCCCGGCCCCTAGAGCCCCAGCCCTCCCGGGGGAGGGGCCAAGGGCCGAGGCTCCGCCCCCCGGCCCGCCAAGGGGAGGGAACCCTTTAAGAAGACCTGAGTGACTCCCGGGGCAGAGAAGGGGCCCTAAGATCTCGGCGAGACAGCGGTGGCCGGAATCCCCGCTCCCTGCTCCGGCCGAGACATCCCGGATAGAGGCCCTTCCCGGTGAGCTCTGGCCCCCCGAGTGGGGCTCTCTCCCAAATCAGAACTTTCCTGACGGGTGAAAGCTTCGGAGCCCCCTCCAGGTGAGCTCTCCCCTCTTTCTGCAGGAGCCTCCCCCAGTCAGAGCCCCTGGTCTCAGGGAGAAGCCGCTGGGCAGATGAGAGATCTCCCTCTCTCAGCTCTTGCTGGGTCGGGACTTGCCTGGCTGGCCAGAGTCCCTGGAGGCAGGATTGGCAGGATCTCCCCGTGCAAGCTCCTCTTCCCTGGACAACCGGCCCTGGACTCCAGGGGGACCCTTCCCCCACGGAGAGCTCTCCACTCCAGCAAAGGCTCCCTCCTCTGCGGAGACCCCTCCCCTTCCCAGACTAGGCTGAGCTTACCTGCAACTTGGGCCCCGGGGGGCTGGAGTCCCAGGGGCAACCAGGCCCCGACACTGACCCTCCCTGGAAGGAGAGGGTGTCTGCTGGCGGCCTGAGGCCCGACGAGAGAGTGGCTTATGGAACTGGGCCTCTGGCTTGCTGGAGGCCTTCCTTGGTTGTGCTCTGAGCCAGCCAGCTCTGGACTCACGGGGCAGCTGGATAAGGACTCTGGGACTGGACAGGGATTGGCTGGGGAAGGCAAGGAGTGGGGGGAGGGGCTAGGAGGTGCAGCGGACCTGGACCTGGACTGGTGGATCGATCAGGGCTGGGCGGCCACACCTAGGCTAGAGATGTGGATCGTGTCCATCCTGTTACCCCTTCATGAGGGACTTTGGTCTAGAAAGAGGCTTCCAGTAGCCAAAGTTCAGGGACTGCCCCTGCCTGTGTGTGGGCATGGGGCCCGAAGGGTGAGCTGGGGGCTGGGCCTACCTTGATCTTTGGGCCTGGAGAAGTCAGGCAGGAGAGTCCATGCTCCCACGTGGATGTGTGGGGAGGTAGGCCCAGGGGTCCCCTCACTGTACCCCTGTGGTCTTGCCACTCCAGACCGAGGGACACACAAGCACTGCTGTCTGCAACACAGGCCATGGAGCTGCAGAGGCGAGACTACCACGTGGAGAGGCCGCTGCTGAACCAGCAGCAGCTGGAGGAGCTGGGGCGCTGGGGCCCAGCGCCCAGGACCCACCAGTGGCGAACCTGGTTGCAGTAAGATCAAGGGTGGAGGTCTGGGGGTGCTGGCAGAGCCCAGGTGGCCCCTGTCCCTGACAGCGGCTCCTCATGTCCTCAGATGCTCCCGTGCTCGGGCCTATGCCCTCCTGCTCCGGCACTTCCCCATCCTGGCCTGGCTACCCCGCTATCCTGTGCGTGACTGGCTCCTGGGTGACGTGTTATCTGGCCTGAGCGTGGCCATCATGCAGCTCCCACAAGGTGAGCTACTTGCAGGGCCTCGCCTGGGAGCCGCCATGGCCTGCGACATCCTGGCCCCCAACCCAGGGCTGGGGCTCCCTCAAGCTTTCTCTACCCTCCAGTCTGCGTCCTCACCACTCCCCCGCAGGCTTGGCCTACGCGCTCCTGGCTGGATTGCCTCCTGTGTTCGGCCTCTACAGCTCCTTCTACCCTGTCTTCATCTACTTCCTGTTTGGCACTTCCCGGCACATCTCCGTGGGTAAGTGGAATCAGGCCTTGCTTTCCAGGGGGGCTTCCATCCGCCATGGAGGACAGGGTGAGGGCAGGCTGAACAGGGCAGAGAGCCTGGGGAAGAGGGCAGCATTGGTGATAGGTCACTGGGAGGCAAGCCCAGGGACTGCCCCAGGCAGGACCAGGCCGGTGACTGCGGGATCACAGGTTCAGGGTGACGCACAGCCCTGTCTCAGGAGGATGTGAGCAGATCAGCTGGAGCAGCTGTGACTCTGTCCTGCTCCACAGGGAGGCCGATGGACCCAGGCAGCGCAGGCTTAGCTGGTGCGAAGCCAGCATTTCGTCTCCTCCTGCCCCGGCCAGGCCTCGCTGCCAGCTCTGCCCCCATTTGTACAGCCTCAGTCTGAGGATGTTTGTCCAAAGCTGGGTTGTCTGTGTGTCTCTGTCTCCCCCACCCCCCACCCCATCTTTCTCTTTTTATTTTTTGTAACATCTTTTTCTCTTTTTTTAAAAAAATTGATTTTTTTTTTGAAAGGCAGAAAGCTTCCATTTACTGGTTCGTTTCTCAAATCCTCAAAACGATCAGGGCTGGGCCAAGCTAAAGCCAGAAGCCTGGAACTCTAACCCGATGTCCCACATGGGTGGCAGGGACCCAAGCACCTGCGCAATTGTTTGCTGCCTCCTCGGGTGTGCGTTAGCAGGAAGCTGGATCAGATGCCGAGGAGCTGGGTGCAGGCACCCCAGGCAGTGACTTAGCCACTCTGCCACACACCGGCCCTGCGTCTGGGCCCTCAGTGCAGGGTGGTGTCCTCCGGCCTTCAGAGCTGCCCTGCCCTGTCCTGCAGGGACCTTTGCTATCATGTCCGTGATGGTGGGCAGTGTGACAGAATCCCTGGCCCCGGATGAGGACTTCATGGACATCGCAAATTCCACAGTCAACGAGACTGCCAGGGACACCTACCGGGTGCAGCTGGCTTCCACGCTCAGTGTCCTGGTTGGCCTCTTCCAGGTGCAAGCCGGTCAGGAGTATGGGTCCCCCACGGCTCCCCTGGGTGCCTGCCCGCCCCCAGTCCCACTTGCCCTGGGGTCCTCTGCAGCCACCCCAGGACCCCCGTCTCCCCTGACCATCCCCGGCTACCCCGCAGGTGGGGCTGGGCCTGGTGCACTTCGGCTTCGTGGTCACCTACCTGTCAGAGCCTCTGGTGCGCAGCTACACCACGGCTGCGTCCGTGCAGGTCTTCATCTCGCAGCTCAAGTACGTGTTTGGCCTGCAGCTGAGCAGCCGTTCTGGGCCACTCTCCCTCATCTATGTGAGTGAGGAGGGGCGGCGGGCCGGGCGGGCTGGGCGGGCCGGGGTCCCCCGCCCCCGAGTGCCGGCCGTGACTTCCCCTCTCCTCAGACAGTTCTGGAGGTCTGCTGGAAGCTGCCGCAGACCGTGGTCGGCACCCTGGTCACCGCGCTCGTGGCGGGGGTGGTGCTCGTGGCCGTGAAGCTGCTCAGTGAGAAGCTGCGACGCTACCTCCCGCTGCCCATACCCGGGGAGCTGCTCACGGTGCGGGGCCGGGCCGGGCCGGGGCGGGCGAGCGAGGCTGCATCCCTGCCGGGGCGGCCTCCGGGTGGGCCCTGGGAGGGTGCCCAGGTGCCAGGGGGCCCACAACAGAAAGCCCCACGCTCTCTTCCCCTGCCCCTAATAGCATCTCTGTCTTCCCGGAATTGTGTGTGTCTCTCACCCTACTGATGCCTCCCCCGCCCCCCAGCCCCTGCAGAAGGCTCTGTCCCAGGGTCTCCCCGCCTCTCTGGGACCATAAGGCCCACCCGCCCCCGCCCCCTGACCCCGTCTCTCCCCACAGCTCATCGGGGCCACGGCCATCTCCTATGGTGTGGGCCTACAGCAGCGGTTCGGGGTGGATGTTGTGGGCAACATCCCAGCAGGGTGAGTGGTAGCTCCATGTCCCAGTAGGAGGGGCTTGGGCAGCCAGGGCCTGCCCCTGCCTGTGGCCTCACCGTTGTCTCTCCCAGGCTGGTCCCTCCAGTGGCCCCCAACCCACAGCTCTTTGCAAAGCTTGTGGGAAACGCCTTTGCCATCGCTGTGGTGGGGTTCGCCATCGCCATCTCGCTGGGGAAGATCTTCGCCCTGAGGCACGGCTACCGCGTGGACAGCAACCAGGTCCGGGTGACGCGGGACCCGTGGGGGGGCCGCCGGGGGCGCTGAGGGTGAGAGGACAGCAGCCAAGTCTCTGGAGGCCCTTGAGTGGGGGTGGAGGTTGGGGACAGTAGGACACTGACGGGCATGACTGGCGAGTGTCCTGACACCCACACTCCCCCCTCCCAGGAGCTGGTGGCCCTGGGCCTCAGTAACCTCATTGGGGGCATCTTCCAGTGCTTCCCCGTGAGTTGCTCCATGTCTCGCAGCCTGGTGCAGGAGAGCACTGGGGGCAACACGCAGGTGGGTGTCAGGTGTGGGCGTGGGGGATGTACCCCGTGAGCAACACTACTCTGCCAGAGCCACCCCACCCCTGCTCACCCCCACCTCTGCCGCCCCTCCCCCCAGATCGCTGGAGCCATCTCTTCCCTCTTCCTCCTCCTCATTATTCTCAAACTCGGGGAGCTCTTCCGAGACCTGCCCAAGGTGAGCCCCTGCCCTAGCCGAGTTCCAGGTGAGGGGTGGCACTGCAGGGTCATCCTGGGATTCCAAGACCAAGTTCTTTGGGGTGAGACTTGATGTCCAGGACCAAGGGTTGGGGCTGCGGACCCACGTTGTGAGGGCCGAGTAGGTGGTCCTTGCCGGCAGCTGGGGTTGCGCTCAGGCCCTTGAGGCCAGACGGGTCATGCCCAGGGCCAGGCTGGCAGCCCCAGGTGCCTCTCAGCAGCCCCTGGTGGCATTCCCCTCCCCCCAGGCAGTCCTGGCCGCTGCCATCATCGTGAACTTGAAGGGCATGCTGATGCAGTTCAAGGACATCCCCTCCCTCTGGAAGGCAAACCAGATGGATCTGGTAGGAGCCCTGGGCGACAAGGGCTGGGACGGGGCGCACGGGGACTTCAGCCCCAGTGGCCCCTGCAGACCCTTAGCCATTGCCCTTCTGTCCTAGCTCATCTGGCTGGTGACCTTCGTGGCCACCATCCTGCTGAACCTGGACCTCGGCCTGGCTGTTGCCATCGTCTTCTCACTGCTGCTCACAGTAGTCCGAACGCAGCTGTGAGTTGACCGTTTCTGTGCCCCGCCCCCGTTCCTGCTGGAGTGGGGGTCAGTGCCACACGAGCCCCCTCCCGGCTCTCCCCACTGTGGCTGCCTGTCTCTGCCCCCGCCTCTTATGGCCACTCTCTCCTCCGCAGACCCCGCTACTCTGTCCTGGGCCAGGTGACAGACACGGATATTTACCGAGACCTGGCCGAGTATGCAGAGGTACTGAGAGGATGGTGTAGGTAGGCCCTGTCCATCCCTTGCACCCCAGCAGGGACACTGGGCACTGGGAGTCGCAAGCCATGAGTTTGGGTCTAATGACCCCCATCGTGGTATAAGGGGTTGGGAAGAGCACCCAGGGTCAGCAGTGTCCCAGGGCAGGGACCTGGGGCACTGGGGTGTAGGGGAAGCTGTTCCCTGATCTGCCCAGTGGACCCCAGTCCCTACGTCTCAGGCCTGGCCCTGGGAATATGATGGGGAGGGGACAGAGGGATTGGGCTCCGGAATCAAACAAGCCCATCCTCCCCTGCCCCCCGACGTGGAGTATGGGGGTCTGCACACGGCTGGGTCAGACAGGAGGTGGGGAGGAGCCAGGGCAGCTGGGAGTGGGAGAAGGAAAGGCGGGGCCACGTCGCTGTGCATGCTGGTTGCTAAGCACAGAGCCGGGCTAGGGGCAGGGAGTGTCCAGGAGGGACAGGGTTCAGCACAAAGGGAATCGATCCCAGGGAAGGGCCGGGGACCCACGAGGACTGAGCCTGGCCGGGCTTGTGGCAAAGGGCAGGAGACGTGCAGGGTGTGCCCAGAGGCAGCCCTGTGGGGCCGGCTGAGAACTGGGCAGGGGCGGGGGAGCCAATGAGGAGGAGGATGCTGCTGCGGCCTCATGGCCCAAGCCACCAGGAGGATGTGGGGCACAGAAGCCTGGGAGTCGGGGGCACAGGGCTCCCTGGGTCGGGGGAGGCAGGAAAACAGCGTGCAGGGCAGGGAGAGGACGGCTCTGATAGCTCCAAAGCCACCCTGCTCCCCAGGCCAGGGAGGTCCCCGGCGTGAAGGTCTTCCGCTCCTCGGCCACCCTGTTCTTTGCCAACGCTGAGTTCTACAGTGACGCGCTCAAACAGCGGGTGAGGCCGGGGTCCCGGGGAGGGGCGGCCGGGTCCCTCCCTGGCGGGTGAGGCCGGGGTCCCGGGGAGGGGCGGCCGGGTCCCTCCCTGGCGGGTGAGGCCGGGGTCCCGGGGAGGGGCGGCCGGGTCCCTCCCTGGCGGGTGAGGCCGGGGTCCTGGGGAGGGGTGGCCGGGTCCCTCCCCGGTGGGTGAGGCCGGGGTCCCGGGGGAAGAGCGGCCGGATCCCTCCCCGGTGGGTGAGGCCGGGGTCCCGGGGGAAGAGCGGCCGGATCCCTCCCCGGTGGGTGAGGCCGGGGTCCCGGGGGAAGAGCGGCCGGATCCCTCCCCTGCCTGGAGTGCCCAGCCCCCTGACCTGCGCCCACAGTGCGGGGTAGACGTCGACTACCTCCTGTCCCGGAAGAAGAAGCTGATGAAGAAGCGGGAGCTCCAGCAAAAGCGGCTGAAGAAAAACAAGCGGCCCCGGACCCAGGCAGGGCCCCTCTGAGCCAGGACTCCTGGCCTCTGCCCTTTGCCCTGCCCTCTGTCCCTCTCCTCTTTCCCCTGGCTGCTGGCCCCTGCCCTGCCGCTCCCTACCCCTGCCCTTCCTCCTACTCCTGGCTCTACCCTCTCCCCCTTATCTTCATCCTCCCTGTCCTCCTGCCAACCCCGGGGACCCTGCAGCATCCCCCGCAGGTCAGGGTGTCCACAGCTGTCCCCAGGATGGGTCCGAGCCCTGCAGCCTCTGTGGGCCAGACTCCACAGCCTCAGGTCCTGACCTTCCGCCCTCCCGCCTGCCTGCCTGGCTTGGTTGTGCTAAGCAGCTGAGAGGGCTCTTTGCTGTCTCCCCCATCCCTGGCCTAGGCTGCTCCGTCCAAGGACACCTCTGTTTCCGTCAATGTCAACGCCAGCCCGGAAGACATCAAGAGCAATGATGTGGATGACTCCAGGGCCAAGGTGAGGATGGAGGTCAAGGAGAAAGGGCCGACCCTGACTCGCAGAGATGCAGGTGCCTCCGCGTGTCCCCCAAGGACAGCTGGGGTCCAAAAGTGCTGTTCCAAGGCAGGCGTGGGGGGCGGGCCAGGCATGGTGCAGGCCCATGTCCAGGGAAACACCGTGGAACTGTGCTGGTGGCTCTCTGGTCTGTGGTCGCAGGCCTGGATGAAGACCTGGCATCTGTAGATGTCAAGGACCCCACAGTCTGTGCTTGTAGGCGGAGGGAGGGACTCGCATGCGCAGAAAGCAGTGTAGGCGCCGAGGGGGGGTGCCGAGCCCAGTAGACTCAGGGCGGATACCGAGGCGCCTGCGTGTATTGTGGCCTGGCCGAGGACTGCACATGGCGTCCCAGCATCCGTCCTCGCGTGTCCCCACATGTACTGGACCTCCGTGTCTGTGTCCTCGTGTGTCCCCTGCACGCCCCATGTACATGCATGCTCTCACTTGTGGCCCTTTGTGTCCCTGCTCGCCTGTGTGCCTTCCCTGCCCCCACCTCCTCAAGAGCAGTCCCTTGCAACAGGTCTGTGTCCCCACAGGTAAACCCAGCAGCTGAACTGGAGGATGCAGTGGCCAGCAACCAAGAAGACGCCAAGGCCCCAAATGGGTCCACGCTGAAGGCCCTGGGCCTGCCCCAGCCGGACTTCCACAGTCTTGTCTTGGACCTGAGTACCCTCTCCTTCGTGGACACTGTGTGCATCAAGAGCCTGAAAAATGTAAGGATGCGGGGTGGGCCCAGGCCCCTTCAGCTGCACGCTGACCCTGAGGGCGCTCTGAGCCCCCCGCGTCTGCCGAGTCCCCGCGCCGAGTCCCGCGCCTCCCTCTGAGTCGGGCCCTGTTCTGCTGCAGATCTTCCGTGACTTCCGGGAGATCGAGGTGGAGGTGTACATCGCAGCCTGCCACAGTGAGTGCAGCGGGCACGGGGGCAGTGGGCCGGGAAGCGGGGCGGGGGGGGGGGGCCCTCTGGGCCAAGAAGTTTGCGGGGCAGCGGCTCTGGAAGTGGAGGCCCTGGGTGTGCTGGGAGGCAGGAGTCACAGGTTAGGAGTGACTGAGGGCTTAGCTACAGTCCCTGGGGCGGCGGTCAGGGGTCAAACGCTGGACATGCTGCCGGAGCCTGGGGAGACCCGTTCCTGCCGACAGGCCCTGTCGTCGCCCAGCTGGAGGCCGGGCACTTCTTTGATGGATCCATCACCAAGCAGCATCTCTTCGTCTCTGTCCACGACGCCGTCACCTTTGCCCTCCAGCACCCGAGGTCTGATCCCAGCAGACCTGTTTTGGTACGTTGACCTCTGGCCCACTGAGTTGTTTTTGTTAATCTCTTGCCTGTCCCCACTCCGACCCAGGAAATCCATCCTGGTGGCCAGGGCTCTGCCCGCAGTGGACCAACTGCCTTCCCCTCCTGCCCTTGACTAAGGCTGCTCCTTGGGGTGGGTTGGTGCGTGTCCTTGGGAAACTGACTGGAGCCTCCCCTCCTCTGTCTGTCCAGGCCACCAAACTCTGACCACGCTGCCACCCTGCCTGAGACTGCCTACCTCCAGAGGCTGTAACAGGGTATCCCTAAGAAGCCCCCCTCCCTAACCCACCCCCAGCCACCTCCAGGTGCTACCCTGGAGTCCTCTCCATGCACATACACAGAACTCAGGGATGGAGGTCCTAGGACTCCAAGTTCAATGCTCCAGGCTGGGGACAGGGTGTAGCAGCCAGGCTGGCCTTGGTTGGGCACAGGGAGGGAGCCGATGCGTATTTTTAGCCTCAGGAATAAAGATTTGTCGGCTCAACTCCAGGCTCTGCCGTGGTATGGCGGGGGGCTGGGCCAGGGCCGTGGGAGGTCCACAGCTTTGGCTCCTGACCCTTCTTAGGCTCCAGAGTGGAGACTGGGGTCCCAAGCTGGAGCACGATTCGGGACAGCAGGGTAAGACGGAGAGCAGAGAGGGGAGCGGGGGGCCGGGGGCGCGTCTCGCGCTCACGCTTCTCCCATGCCGCGCACAGCTGTCAGCTCCCCCAGCAGAGCTGCTTCTAGGGATCAGTTCCATTCTGGGGGATACCTCAGCTGGACAGGATGGCCGCCACCAGGTGGCCCCAGGAGAGGCCAGTGAACCCCTTAGCAGAGGAAGCACGACTGTCCTGGGTGCTGCCAGTCTGTATTCCGAAACGAGAATAAACATCACAGGCTTCCTGGGTGCCCTTACTGCGCCTGCTCACATCATCAGATCACCTGGCCTTGGCAGAGCCCCGCCAGCCAAGGAGCGTGTGCTGTGAAATCCCAGCCGTGGGCGTGCGGCCCAGCGGGCGGATTAGCTGAGCGCTGGGGGCGGGGCCTCAGTGTGCAGGCCTGGAATGCTGCCAGCACCCACCTGGGCTGCCCAGTGAGTGTGAGCTGAAGACATGCCAGAACAGCACCAGGCTCAGGCCACCCACTTAAAACATACAACCCGTGCTGCTTGTCAGGTACTACCTGGGCGCCAGGCCATGTGCTGGGCACTGGGCACAGGTCCCAGAGTGGACAGAGGCCACCCTCCCTTCTGAGTCCCCGCGGCACCCTGACCCAGCCCTGTTCTTATCGGGGCCCGCGGCGGCACCTGGCACTCCTCCCCGGCAACCTCGGCGCCCAAAGCCAGGGCTCTCTGTGTGCCCAGGTCACTCCATGTCCTGGCGCAGAAAGGCACACTTGGTAAATATTGGCTGAGCGAGGCGGATGTGCCGGAGCAGGCAGCTGGCAGTGCCCTCTCAGCGGGGAGAGAGGGACGCCTTAGAGAGGGGGGCTGTGTTTCGCAAGGTGGTCACAGGCGGGAGGCTCGGGGGCAGGTGACGCCGTGAGAAGGTGACTTTCCAGGAGCGGGAGAGGGAACAGCAAGGGTGAACAGCAAGGCCAGCCTGAGGCAGGAGCAGCAAGAAGGGTGAGCGGGGAGGGAGACGGGAGATGTCACAGGGCAGCACCAGCTTAGATATTAAAAAAAAAAAAAAAAAAAGTTGATTTTTATCTACTCAAAAGGCAGAGTAACAGAGACAGAGACAGACAGAGGTCTCCCATCTGCTGGTTCACTCCCCAGGAGCCTGGAACTCCATCCTGGTCTCCCAAGTTGGTGGCAGGGATCCAAGGGCTCAGGCCGTCCGCTGCCTCCTTCCCAGGTGCATTAGCAGGGAGCTGGATCAGAAAAGGCAACCTACGCTCTGGGACATAGAATGTGGGCGTGTCCTGCAGTGGCTTAACCCCATGCCACGCCTCCAGCTCTCACTGGGACTGTGGGAGGAGCCACTCTCGCTGTGGGGGGTGGGGGCTGTGAGGCCGAGGCCACGTGGAGAGGTCCCATGAGCAGCACTTGCTTGTTGGTGTGGGTGGAGCAGCAGGCTCTAGGGGCTGTGGGGTGGTAGAAGTTAGGGGTGGAGGACAAGAGGGTGTCCCTTCCCCCTTGGCCTGCCAGGCCAGCCAGGGGAGTAGGCCTCGGCCGGCTATCCTCCTCCAGCCCCCTGCCCACCCAGGCTAGGGCCGAGCTGCCTTGTGCTGGAACTGCTGGCTCAGCCAGTCCTGCCTGCTCCTGGGGGAGGGGCGTTTGCCTGTTGCCAGGCGCCCAGGTTCCGGCCACTGGGCACTGGCCGCAGCCATGCTGCCCGCGCTGTCCTCGCTGCTGTCGCTGCTCCTGCTGACAATGCCTGCTCCCTGCCGTTCCTGGACCCGGCCCCTCTGGTACCAGGTCGGGCTGGACCTGCAGCCCTGGGGGTGCCAGCCAAACAACCTGGAGGCCTGCGGGCGCAGCCTGGGCTGTCCTGGCTACTGGCTGGGCCTGGGAGGAAAGAGTATCTACCCCGTGGCTGGCGTCACGATCACCACCACCATGATGCTGATGCTCAGCCGGGTGATGCTGCACTGGTGGCGTTCTCAGGGCGCTAAGGGTGAGGTGAGCACAGCGCCTCTGGCCCCTGCCCGTACCCCCAGCCCCCGCACCATTGTCCCGCGTCTGTCCACACCTCCATTGTCCCATGCCATCCCCTACAGCCGCCTCCCTTTAGTACCCCCACTCCTCCTCCAGTCCCCGTGGGCCCTCGACCCCCAGCCCACTACAGACCCTCAGCTGGCCTCCCTCACCCCCAGGCTCCTGTCTCCTTCAGGCACCGCCCTGAGCCCCCACACCCCAAGCCCTGGCTCCGCGGCTGCCCCTTGCTGCGCCTCCGTCCCATCCCTCTGCCTCACTGCTGCCCCCTGCTCTTCTCAGGATCCGCAGGTGACTGTTGGCCCCTGTGGGCCCTGGAAACAGCGGCCCGTGGTCTCAGACCGCGCCATCGTCCGTGGGGTCCTGCACATGCTGGATGCCCTCCTGGTCCACATCGAGGGCCACCTGCAGTGTCTGGCCACCCAGAAGCAAATCCAAATAAAGGAGACTCCCACCCAGCTTGGGTGATCCGGCACACGCTTCTCCTTGCCTGAGCTCGGCCGGGGCTTGGTCTGTGTGTTCGTTCTAGACAGGCTGGTCTGTGAGGCCTCGGGGCCCCGGGTGCGTGGGCAGGTGGGGCCCAGGCTGACTCACACTTCAGGGAACCACCACTTCCTCTCTAAGGATCTCACAAGCAATTCCGGACCTGACCAGTTCCAGGGGGGACCCCAATGTGGTAGAGACGAGACCATCAGGGCTAGCTTGGGGGGCTCCAGGGAGGACTTCCCGGAGGATGTGACAACATGGCTCAGTCCTGAGGGGGAATGGAGGTGGGGACAGGTGGCCCAGGTGCAGCCTTGGTCCAGCCAAGGCCATGTGCTGTGTCAGTGCCCCATGCACATCCGTGGGTGTGGGCAGCACTACATCATGAGAGACCTCGGGGGCCAAGGGAGGGTTGCAGTCTTCTCCAGTCTCAGCGCAAGTCAGCAAGGAACCTGGGCAGCTGCGAGAGCAGGAGACAGTGAAGAGGCTGGAACGAGACCTCGGGGCTCTCCGGAGGGGACTGAGAGGGCTGGTCCTCGGTCACCGTGGGGTGGCACCCACTCCTTTGCTTCACCCACCCATCTCTGCCTCAGGGTGAGCTGTCCTCATGACATCAGTCCTCCAAAAGCCACCAATAGGCAGCTGGCTCTGGTTTCCTTCCCTGGCTTGCCTGGATGTGGCTGATCTACTCCCCATATCCTCGGCTCCCACCCAGCTCGAGCCCACCTGGCCTGTGGTCGGGACAGGCTGTAGTCCTGAGTGGCCGTGGCTCCACAGAGCCTGGAAGAAGATTGAGGGTCAAATCTTCCCAGGGGAGCCCTCAGCCCCTCTCCTGCCTTTCTCTTGGCATCCATGTGCCAGGTTGACTTGGGCCTGAGACATGCTTAGGGCGCCTCTTTTAGAAAAACTACAACATTATGAATTGAAAACTTCGATGGGCTGGCATTACTGTCATGCAGTGCTGCCAGCATCCCATAATGGAGTGCCGGTTTGAGTCCTGGCTGCTCCGCTTCTGATCCAGCCTCCTGCTAATGCACCTGAGAAAGCAGCAGAAGGTGGTTCAAGTACTTGGGTCCCTGCCACCCACATGGAAAAACTGGATGAAGTTCCTGGCTCATGACTGTGGCCTGGCACTGCCCTGGCTGTTGCAGCCATTTGGAAAATGTACCAGCAGACAAAAGATCTCCCTCTCTCTCTCTCCCACTCGCACTCTGCCCTTCAAATAAATCCTTAAAAAAAAATCAGACAAGGGAATTAAAGGGGCTGATGCTGTAGCACAGTGGGTTAAGCCACTGCTTGAGATGCTGACATCCCATATCGGAGCACTAGTTCCAGTCCCTGTTGAACATGACTCAAGTGCTGGGGACCCTGCACCCATGTGGGAGACTCAGGTGGAGTTCCTGGCTCCTGGCTTCAACCTGGCCCAGTCCCGGCCATTGCAGCCATTTGGGGAGTGAACCAGCAGATGGAAGATTCTCTCTCTCTTTCACCAAAAAAAAAAAAAAAAAGTGGAAAGCAGGACTCAGATGTGTGCATACCAATATTCATTGCACCATTTTTCACAAAAATCAAAAGGTGAAAATGACCCATGTGTCTAGCACCCGATGAGTAAATACACAAAATGGGGTGCACACTTGCTGTGTGCTACAACATGGGTAAGCCTTGAATATGTTACACTCAGTGCAATTAGCCAGACACAAAAGGACAAATTCTGTATGATTCCACTTACATGAGGTGTGTAGGATATGCAAATTCACAGAATGAGGACCAGAGGTTACCAGGGAGGGGGAGGAGAGAGTGGGGAGTTATTGCTTTCCGTAGGCTGATAAAGTTGTGGAGATAGTGGTGGTGGTTACACACACTGGGAGCTAATTAATGCTACTGAATTGTAAAATAGTCAGGACCATAAATTTTTTATCATGTACTTTATATAATAAGGGCGGGCTTTGAGTTACCAGTTGGGATACCTGCCTCCCATGTGGATCAGAGACTCAGCTGCTCTGCTTCCAGTCCAGCTGCCTGCCGCCGGGCATTCTAGGAGGCAACAGGCAACGGTCAGGTACTGGAGTCCTCGCCGCCCACATGGGAGCCCTAGATGGAGCTCCTGACTCCAGGGTGGGGCTCCTGGCCCAGCCGTAACTCACAGGCATTTGGGAAGTGAAAAAGTGGATGAAAGTGCTCTTGTACTCTCTCTGTGTGTGTGTGTGTGTGTGTCTGCACTTCAAATTTCAAAAATAAAAATGAATCTCCAAATCAATATGAAGAGCATACAAATTCAATCCAGAAATAGGAAAAGAATTTGCAGAGGCAGTTCTTGAAATTGGTCTATTGATGATGTTAACAAAAAAAAAAAAAAAAAAAAAAAAAAAAAAAAAAAAAAAAAAAAACAAGGAAAATAGTGAAATTCTGATACATGTTGTGATATGGGTGAACTTTGAGGTTGTTATGTTAAAGTGAAATAAGTCAGGACAGGAATCTCTGAGTCTACACACATAAAGCACCCAGCGTAGGCGAATTCACAGAGACGGAAAGTAGAAGGTACTGGGGGCTGGGAGAAGGAGGAAGCAGTGATTATTGCTCAATGGTTATGGAGTTTCTGTTGGAGATGAAGAAACTGGAAATACACTAGTGATGATTACACAACACTGAGTGTACTTGAGCCACTGGATTTGACACTTAATAATGGCTAACATACTGAGGTCTATGTTATGTGTATTCTAGAACAATTTTTTAAAGATTTATTGATTTATTTGAAAGGCAGTTACAGAGAGGGGGACAGAGAGAGAGAGAGAGCCATCTTCCACTAGCTGGTTCACTCCCACTATGGTGGCAATGGGGCTAGGCCAGGCCAGAGCCAAGAGACAGGAGCTTCATCTGCGTCTCCCACGGATGCGGGGACCCAGGCACTTGGGCCCATCTTCCCCTGCTTTCCCACCCACATTAGCAGAAGGCTGGATCGGAAGTGGAGCAGCTGGGCCTTGACCAGTGCCCATACGGGATGCTGGCACTGCAGGCGGCAGTTTTACCTGCTATACCACAGCACCAGCCCCTATAGTACAATTTTTAGAAAAAATAAAATAGGGGGCTGGTGTTGTGGCACAGCTACACACACACACATGTTAAGATAAAGTAAAGCTCAGCCTGCAGTTTAGGCAAAAAAAGATATTTTGAGCTCACCTCCCTCGACCTACCAAATACCAAAAGGTCAGTGAATCACCTATTTCCAAACCCATGCGCTGTTTGCACTTGACCTTGAGTAACATTTCTTTTTTTGTCCAGCCTCTTGAAACATCCTTCCTCATTGGTCTGCGAATCTCATTTCCTGCTGGCTCCCCGTTTCACTGGCCTACCCACCTCACCCCAGGGTGGCAGTGCGGGTGCGGAGGGATGACAGGTGACTGGATTTAGAAATGATTTGGAACAGGGTTTGTTAAAGGACCAGTGTGGATTATTTCCCATGCCCCCAGCAGATGCCTGGAGCCTAAAGCAGGCTCCAGAACATAGCAGGTGCTCAGTAAACATCTGTTTTAAGAATGAATATGGGGAGCCGGCACCGTGGCTCACTTGGTTAATCCTTTACCTTGTGGCACTGGGATCCCATATGGGCACCAGGTTCTAGTCCCGGTTGCTCCTCTTCCAGTCCAGCTCTCTGCTGTGGCCCAGGAGGGCAGTGGAGGATGGCCCAAGTGCTTGGGCCCTGCACCCCATGGGAGACCTGGAGGAAGCGCGCTGGCCGTAGCAGCCATTTGGGGGTGAACCAATGGAAGGAAGACCTTTCTCTCTCTCTCTCTCTCTCTCTCTCTCTAACTCTACCTGTCCAAAAAAAAAAAAAAAAAAAAAAAAAAAAAGAATGAATATGGGACAGGCACAGTGGCATAGCGGGTAAAGCCTCCCCCTGCATTGCCAGCAGCCCATATGGGCACCAATTCAAGTCCCAGCTGTTCCACTTCCAATCCAGCTCTCTGCTATGGCCTGGGAAAGCAGTAGAAGATGGCCCAGGTCCTTGGGCCCCTGCACCCACGTGGGAGACCTGGAAAAAGCTCCTGGCTCCTGGCTTTGGATCAACACAGCTCCGGCCATTGCAGCCATCTGGGGAGTGAACCAGTGGATGGAAGACCTCTCTCTCTCTCTTCCCTCTCTCTCTGCAACTCTGCCCTTCAAATAAATATATAAATCTAGAAAAAAAAGAAAGAAAAGAAAAATGCAAGTGTCACAGGCAAGGGATGCTTACGGAGTCAGACAACTAAACGCAACGTGGTGGGGCTGGTGCTGTGGCACAGTGAGTAAAGCCATCGCCTGCAGTGCCTTCGTCCCATATGGGCATCCCTTTGTGTCCTGGCTGCTCCACATCCCATCCAGCTCCCTACTCATGACCTGGGAAAAGCAGCAGAAGATGGCCCAAGTGCTTGGACTCTAACTACCCATGTGGGAGACCTGGAAGATGTCCCTGGCTCCTGGCTTCAGCCTGGCCCAGTCCTGGCTGTTTCCTCCATCTGGGAAATGAACCATCAGATGGAAGATTTTCTCCTTCTCTCTCTGTCTCTCTCTGTCTCTCTGTCTCTCCCTCTGTCTGTAACTCTTTCAAACAAATAAATATTTTCAAAAATAATAAAATAAATTTAACATGGTATTCTGGGTGAGATCCTGGAACAGAAACAGACATCAATTAAAAAAAAAAAAAAACCTGGCCGGCACCACGGCTCACTAGACTAATCCTCCGCCTGCGGCACCAGCACCCTGTATTCTAGTCCCGGTTGGGGCGCCAGATTCTGTCCCGGTTGGGGCACCAGATTCTGTCCTGGTTGCTCCTCTTCCAGTCCAGCTCTCTGCTGTGGCCGGGGAAGGCAGTGGAGGATGGCCCAGGTCCTTGGGCCCTGCACCTGCATGGGAGACCAGGAGGAAGCACCTGGCTCCTGGCTTCGGATGGGCGCAGTGCGCTGGCTGCAACACGCCGGCAGTAGCGGCCACTTGGGGGGGGGGTGAACCAACGGA